GGGGGGTGGTGCTTGACTGTTGAGGACTTTGACTTTGTAGTGTTGACGAGAACTAACAAATTTGACACTTGATTCGTGAGTTTCCTTTTGTAGCCTTCAAACATTTTCGTCATCTTCCTCCAGCAGCAACATCGTGGCTGCATCATGAAAATGTAAAACTACAGAGTGCTGTTGTTTCCCTTTCATTTTTCATTTTGAAGCGCTGTTTTGGGGGGGGGGGGGGGGGGCTTGACTGTTGGGGACTTTGACTTTGTAGTGTTGACGAGAACTAACAAATTTGACACTTGATTCGTGAGTTTCCTTTTGTAGCCTTCAAACATTTTCGTCATCTTCCTCCAGCAGCAACATCGTGGCTGCATCATGAAAATGTAAAACTACAGAGTGCTGTTGTTTCCCTTTCATTTTTCATTTTGAAGCGCTGTTTTAGAAGTTGTTTGTTTCCTTTAGTTGCCTTCCAACTTTTCACCCTCCCACAGCAGCAGCAGCAGCATGGCTACGCAGTGAAAGATGAACATTATGGGAGGCTGGGGAGGGGGGGGGGGCTTGACTTTTGAGGACTTTGTAGTGTTGACGACAACTAACAAAGTTGACACCTGATTGGTGAGTTTCCTTTTGGAGCCTTCAAACTTTTTCCTCGTCTTCCTCCAGCGGCAACATCGAGGCTGCATCGTGAAAAGTGCGCAACTTTTTCAGATCTTGCCGTGTTGATGAGAACTTCCAAACTCCCCGTCAGTTTTTACATGTGACGTGCAATCGCGTCGCCGTCAAACGTCTCCTCGTCTTTCGACCGCCGCGGCGCCGGCTAAACTTTGAAAGAGGAAAATAATGTTGAGGAGCTTTGAAGGCGCTCGGGGTGTTGACGGTGGCTTCCGAACAGCTGACACGTGGCTGCTTTTCGTTTCTTTTTTATTGGCTCAAATTTCTCCTGGTTTTCCTTTGGCACCAACATGGCTGCATATTGAAAGTGTGTTTAAAAAAAAAATCCAAACTTGTTTGATTTGGTTTTCGGAGTTTGTGATGTTGTTAAGATCTTCCAAATGTACTAAAGTGTTGAAATCGTCCTTATTTTCCCTGTTTCCTTTAGACGCCTTTGTGATATTGATGAGATCTGCATCAAGTGTGTTTTTTTTTTTTTTTTTTTGGCACACAAAGTGTGAGCCTGCCTAATTGTTTCATCAGCTCTCTTCTTCCTCTTTGGTCCGAAGCATTCCTTGGCAAAGTTTGGAGCGAAACCAACTACTGCTTGCAACCAACATGCATGCGCTTGTGCTCTTTGTGTGTCGTGGACATTGTGTGTGTGTGTGTGTGTGTGTGTGTGTGTGCGCGCGCGCGTGTGTGGCTCGCGTGGCCAATATGAGAGGGAACTTGTGCCATTGTGTGTGCGCGCAAGCCAGGCAGGAGACTCCCCCCCCCCTCCACACACACACACACACACACACACACACACACACACACACACACACACACACACACACGCACACACACGCGCCCGCCCTCCACACACTTGCGCACATCTGGCGCGTGCCCGTGGGCGTGGCAAGCGGGAGGCTTATGACGTCTCTGCCTGGTGCTTTTGAGCGACGCTCGTGACGTCAGACCACGGGCATGTGCTGTGAAGGACCACGACACGCCTTCAGACGCGGACGGAGCCTTGCACGCCATCTGCCACGAGTGCCCTCCCCCAACCCCCCGCGCTTCCTTCAACCCCCCCC